AAAAAAAAAAAGAATTCAAATCCAACCCTATCTAGATTAATTGTCGAAAAGTTTGACACCTAGCCCAATTCACCCACAAGGTGAATGCGGTCCACAGATCAGGTAAATAGGAGTAGACCAAGTCAGTTTAGCAATGTCACCCTCCTCACAACCACAGTAATCCCTCACTGTAAGCAAAAAAAAACAACAAACAAAAAAACAAAACAGGATTGATGAGAACACACTAGTGCTATTACTATTATCTCTAAAACTCCGCGAGCATATCTAGATCCTCCACGAGTAGGTAAGTACATGCAGTTCAGGAGGAAGCCAACATGCTGGAGTCCTTTTCGTCTATAATTTGATACTAAACATGACTTTAACAAAAAAGACACCACCCCCAACCCCAATCCCCTCCCTAAAACCCCCTCCCCCAAAACAAAAACAACAATGCCGTATAAAACAAGGCAACATTTTAGCCCACTTCGTGACCCATTAATTAATTATCATTTATCATAACACAAAAAGAAGCAAATCAAAGCCAGAAACATCAGAAGTCAACTTTTCCGTGACACCATCATAATTTCAATCTCTACATAGAACTAAGAAATGTACCTTCGCCATATACATGTGTATCCAAATCTCCTATGCTCGAGGAAGCCACAGCCACAATCTCATACCAGTCTACGTTAAAACTGATTTTATTTTTAAAACAAAGGGGGGCAAAAAAAACAACAAAAAAAAAGAAAAGAAAAAACGATACAGTCTTTTAAAGTCATGAAACGTGAAAACAGAAGTGATATCATCATGCTAAAGTTCAGAAAGCGTGCAATAGATTCTCAAACACACCCACACACACACACAGAGCCACAAAAACTCACCCAACTTCGTGCCGTTCATGAACAGACAGTAAGCAGTTAATGAGCTTATACGATGAAAGAGCAGAGCTGCCGAGAAGCAAAAACCATACATCGGGGACAGGTTGAAACAGGTTTTAGTTTTAGTTTTAGTAAGAGTTTTACGGCACTTGCAACACAATAAGGTCATATAAGTGCCGAAGATTAGAGGTATTACAAGAGAGTAACAAACACAAAATAGAAGGAGGAGGAGATATCAGGAAGATAGACGTTTGATAGGAAAGAAGAAGCTAACCACACCAGAGCACCCGCCAACCACCCACAGCTTTCCAAAACGGGCTTTTCGTTATAAACATAACTATCCTTTTAAGGATTATCATCCAGCAGGAGCGAAATCGTAGTTAATATTAGATCTAACGTAAGCTATTCACAAAGGTACACGAACTACGAGCCCTCTGTGTATTATTACAGTACACTCAGCCCCTGGGGGAAAGGTTTAAACAAAACTTCTTGTGCAGAGAATGGGGAGGGCTGATGAGAGCCAGAGGTCAAATGTAGGACGGTAAGCTTTTCTTGCCTGCGGAACTAACTGTTTTAAAGAAAGAAGAGGCGGACAGACAGTTACAAAGAAGAAAAACCCACGGAAAAAGCGGACAAGTGAGTGCACAGAACGACTCGACCTAAATCCTTCTCTTCCAGAAAAATAACACTGACTCTTTTTTTTTTTGGTTATACACATATAGCCTTCGAACCCTGTTTATTTAATAACACTATCATTACTATGTGGCAGTAAAAAATTCCACATCCTTTAATCAGTTCAGAAACACTAAATCCAACAACCCGTACTCTGAGACTGCCCCTGAAACATAGACAGTCGTTTGGCAGCTCTGAGCGACTAGACCACGACTCCCACACATACACGCTTGTTCGGCTCTACTAAAACTCCCACTTTCCATTCACAACAATCATAATATATATATGAGGTTATTTCGTACAATTAAAAAAAAAAAAGAACCAAACAACAACAGAGTGAACAAACCAGAAGGAAATCTCGTACATGGCAAGCAGAACTCTGATGACGCAAGTATCTAGAGCTACAAGCACAGAAACAACAATCACAGTTTTCTCTTCAACTTTATAAAGACTCCCTGACACCCATGAGGGAAATGTTGACTGCAGTTTGCTATCAGACAAACCAAACTCTCCGTGGAGACGGATCTATAAGCCACGGATTCAGGCTTTGTATAAAGAACCAATACAACCAGAGGTCTCCTCCGTCCACAAAAGCAGATGACTCACTCACGCATGCACACACAATAGACTCATGTGCACATGTAATTTATTTTCACAGGAAAACAAGTGCATGTTGGAGCACATGCGACACAAAATCACATATCAGACCATCGTCAATACATCCAACAAAAAGTACAGAAAAAGCATTACACAAAAGCACACATGGAAAAAAAATTATTGTGCTACGGCAAATGCACAAGTCTCGCAAATCAGACTTTATACAAAATTGGTATTAAAAAAAAAAAGTTTTTACAAAGAAAAGGGTAAATGGGGAAATTAAAACTATGTGATACTCTACCCGGCACAGTCCAGTCCACTATTTCATTCACACATTCCTATAAGTGAATACCCTGCTCCAAACTTTTAAGGCTACCACCAACTACAAGTCATCCAAATTTAGAAAGTAAAGGGGTACACTGAAACAAAGGGGAAAGTTCCAGGAACGGAATGATTGACAGGCGACACAAATTCAGAAGAGACGACATTCGACATTTCCAAGTGCGGTGTGAATTAAAGAAATTAAAGACAAAGAGGAAATAAAACAAAGTTCAAATTGCCTTGTCCAGCAAGTACATGAAGGCCAAACACATGTACGGGAAATTTCTACCATCATTTATAAAAACTAAAATAAGCACAACGCAACACTGGCCCATCTTTCCCACACAGAACATCATGTCCGGTGTGAGAAAACCATCTGTTGTAGACGTCCACCCCTGGATATCTCGACAAAGGCAGGACCTTCTGTCGCATTTTATTACTTTTTTTTTTTTTCTGCGAAGGATCACCACGAGAGAGAAAAAGCCGCCTGCATAGATCAACGACCCAGATGAGGATTCGCATAACATGAAAGAGGGGACAACATTATTCACAACAGACACTTGAGCAAAGATACAACTAAAACACAGACCGCTCTGAGGCCAGGTGTAGTGTCATAACACACAACACAGCCGACAGTAGCACGTCATCTCTCAAGCAACCGCATCATCATCACACATTTCTCTCACACCCCTCTTGAAAACAGTAGTTGGAAACAAAAATGAAAATTGTAAAGCAGAAGTAAACACAAACAAAACAAACAAATGAAATGGTACACGGTTTCTAAAAAGACAACACAAATGTATCAACCTCCAGGTCTCAGTGGGAACATCCCCACCCTCACCCCCTCCTAACAACATTAGATACCTTCACATTGAAGTCTTTGACAAATTTTTTAAAAATTTACTTCAACTTCACAGTAGTAATGTCTATCCCCCTAGTAATATAAAGAAGTTCTCAAAAAAACTTTTCTCCCCCAAAGCCATAAACAAGTCCATCCTATCATCATCATTAACAACTTTTCTTGCATCACATCATGCAAAAGAACCTTACAACAACACAACTCGTGTTACTGTTCCATTTCAAAAACTAAAAGTAAAAATTCCAAAGTAACTCACAGAAGAAGAAAAAGCTTACACAATGCCCTTACAGCAATAAACTGTCCACACTTCTTCCACCACATTCGCATCATCATTAACAAGTTTTTATATCCATATTTGGTCTGTAAATAGAGATGGTCGTTCACATAATGCAATGCAACACACACTCTACAAAAAGCAGACTGGATAATATATGAGAAAAAGCAGCACAAAGATATATGTTCACGTGAGAAAAGAAAACCCAGACAGACACATTTTTTACTTCTTTAATCCCTAAGATTACAAAGCATCTACAACTTATTTGCTGCATCTTTGCTTCCACCAATCTTAAATCTGTCTGCAATTTCTGAAAAGACTTAACAGTTTCTACGAAAAATTCACCATACAATTCACATATCTCTCCCTGAATACCAAAATCAAAGTAGGAGCTTTCATGTTGGTGTTGATACGGACAGAGACGTATATATGCCTAAGCTGGAAATCAGAGAAAAAAATCTACTCCATGAGGTAAAACACAAAGTGGACTTCGGGCCAAACAGATACATGGTTAAAATTCTAGACTGGATATCAATATCATGGCACAAAACAGCATCTACATCAGTTGACCATCCATCTCCCAGTTTGGATTCACAACGCTGCCCCACTCACCATTCCCCCCCTCCCCTCTTTCCTTTCCCCTCTATCTATGTCAGGTTAACAACAACAACAACAAAATATCAAATAGAGTTATGAGGTGCACACTGAGAGGCTACGAGGATGATGAACAAGTCTAAGAGTTGTGAGTTTGCATGAATTTCTGACACATACGTGTACACAGAAATCTATTATTATATCATAAAACAATCATATAAATAGAACTATACTGGTAGCAACACGACAGAGAACGGGGGAGGGGAGAGGGCGGTATTAAGATTACGCAGCTAGACCTAGGCGCGGCAGCCCATCATTTGTCGTCCTTGTCCGACGCCATTGTGCCTCGGATGGGACCTTCTCGGCGTTGCTGGGGAAAGAAATGTTCATCATAAAATGACTGAAGAGACTCCACATTTCGCTAACAAAATTCATCAATTAACAACTAGAGTAAGTGCTTTGTCAAAGGCCATTTCACCTTCTAAATAATAATATCAATGGGTGGGTAGGTGAGTGAGAGGGCGAGTGAGTGATGTTTTGCTTTAGTATGCATTTTACGGCAGTTGCAACACAATTAGGTCATATAAGTGTCGAAGATTTGAGGTGTTACTAGATGGTAACATACACAAAAAAGAAGTAGTAGAGATAAGATCAAAAGGACGATAGATGTTTGATAGGAAAGATGGAGCAAACCACAACAGAGCACGCACCAACCATCCACAACAAAATTAGTGAATTAACAGATACAATATAAGAGCTTTGTCAAAGGCCATTTCACCAGCCAAAAACAGGAAGATGCTGGGGAGTGGGTCGGTTGGTGGGTGGGTGGATGAGTGAGTGAGTGAGATAGTGAACGAGTGTGTAAGGGGAGGGGAAGGATAATTTTGGATTTGGAAGAAACTGATTACTATAGTGCGGTCAAAAATTTGGGGCGCAACTTATTTGACAATTTCCGAAACTATCGAACATAGACTCTCCAGCTTTTGAAAAATGACTTACTTGTATCAATTTGTCTGAACAAAATCAATATTTTTGTAAACACCTGTTAGTTGTATTCTAGAAAAGTCCTTACAATATATCAATATACTAACCACAAAATCCAAGTGGGAGGTTTCTACAGATTTAAAAAGGTGTATAGCTGGAGCAACATCGCTTTTGCAAGCAACTCTGTCATTTTTTTCTAATCGTGACACTATCTAAACCCTATCCGTACCCTTGGGAGTCATTTTGTACCCAAGGGGTTGTATTCTTTCAATTTTAGACTACTTCTAGTGCGAAGATCTCATTGAAACTTTCAGTATTTCTCAAAAAATCTTTTTGACAGACGGCTATGCAAAGTGTACGGATCGGATTATTGAGTAAATTTCCTCTTTGGAAAGTGGGGGCACAGAGTTCTCCACGTCGTATGGATACAATAGTAAAACACGACATACGGATAGGGTTAATTGAACGAATGTTTGAGAACCGTTAGTGCAAAAGATGTGTTTGCTCTGAAATTAATTTCTTATAACTAGTTTTGCCACTATAAAGTGTCAATGGTCAGTAGTGATGTAGGTGACATATATATATACATATACAACATGTGTGTAAGAAGCAGTGTGCTGTAAACAATCTCTTTTTCCACGTGGCAGAGATTAATTCTTTTTTATATGAATTTATAAAGAAAAGTTTTTAAATCTATCCGTAATTGTTGTGGAAAAATACGATGAAGTTAAAACAAGTTGATAAAAACTGCTGTTAGAGGATAAGTTGCGTCATAAATTTTTGACCGCACTATATCTATATTTTTGGGGGAATATTTCATTATCATTGCATTTTCCTAAAATTGCAGAGGGTGGGGGACTGAACGCTTTAGGTAGGCGACTTAAAACTTTAGGAAAACCCTGCTAACAAAGCAAACATCTCAAGTAGTATTACGCACTAAAAGTTCTAGAGAGTGCAGTGCTTTGTGCAGCTACGTTAACAAAGGTACAGGCAGTAACCCTTACAGCACCTCGACATTTCTAGCCCTCGTTTCCCTCTTGCCCAGTAAATGTAAGGGTACGGACTTAAAAAACCCTTTTCAACACTATTAGATTACTTAAGAGACAAGACCTCTGCATACATCGATCTTTGACCCTTGCCCTCACCTTCTCCAGGTCTTCCTTGGTCTGTGCCTCAATCCTGCGGATGTCCTCTATGGTGGAGCCGTGGTAGTTGTCCTGCCAGCAGACGACCTGCCGGTGGAAGTTCAAGAACAGACGCTGCTCTTGCTGCAAGGGAGAACAAAAAAGTTGTTTGAGTAAAGAAAACCACATCAACAGAACTAAAATCATGTAGTACAGGGAAGAAGCAAGTTGAAAAGATAGAAATATTAACAGAGGGAAAGTAGATGCAGGACCTATCGGTCATTCCCTTCAACCACCCAAAAAATTTTTTAAAAAGGTCTTATTATGGTAACTGGAAATATTTAATGACATTGAAGCAAGTTACAAGATACTGGAGAAAAAAAAAAAAAAAAAGGTCTTATCGTTACTGGAAAACCAACCAGGGCTAAGATGGATACAATGCCCCAAAAGACAAACTGAAATACTAAAAAATGCTCCCCCACACGAGAAGTAGTAACCTACCGTCAAAATGAAAGACTCCATCCTCTTCTGCAGGCCAAACCACTTGAACCAAACCTTGACCAGCTTGTAGCAGCACATGACCGGCTTCACAGCGTTCTGCAAGGGGAGAGAGAGTAGTTTTATTTCGATTTATAATAATAACAATACTACTAATAATAATATAACAACATCAACAATAAAAACAATATTAATAATACTGATAATAATAATATTGACGATGATAATGATAATAATAATAATAATAAAAACAACAATAATAATGATACATAGCATTTGTTTAACGCCAATTCCCGATAAACAGCTTTTATGTACGTGATGCTGGACAACAGTTACAGGGGCTCTCGTGGCCTAGAGGTTAAGGTGTTGGCCTCTCATTCAAAGGTCCTGGGTTCGAATCCGGTTTGCGACCGAAAAATTTTCTTCTCTAAAATTGTCTCCTTTCACCTCCTTTCCTGCTCTCCAGCAATGTTCTGTTGTCTGCTTTCATTTCCACTTTCTGCCCCCACCCCCTCACCTCCCGACTCTTTCTGCAGTCTTTCTACTGCTACTCCTTGGCTCCTCCTTACTGCTGTCTTTCTGCCACACCCCTGATCTTCCGGTAGAAAAGATCTACACCTAGCCTTCTCGGACAAGGGCGAAAAATCTCAGAGGGCCCGTGTGCAAGTTGAGCACGTTAAAGATCCCTTGGTTGTCTAAAATCCTCCACCCCCAACTCCCCCTAAATTCCCCTGTCTAAGACGGAATTTTTTTTCTGGCTCCCTTGCGATTCCGTCTTACACAGGTTCAACAGTATATATGTTTTAGTAATCAACAAACAAAAAGAACAAAATAGTAATCTATCTAAACAATTCACAATATGGTGCTGGCGAGTCATTTTCTCTGAGGTGTCAAGGACAGGGATTGCAGATTTAAGGATGAAAGTAACAAACAAAAAATGCGATGAAAAAGAAGTCTCAAAAGACTCATCATAGTCAAGGGGCGGGGCGGGGTGTCATTGGCTGTTGGATTGACTTTTGCCAAATCAAACGAAACCAACAGACCATAATACAGCCTTTAGTCCTGACTGTGCATCACTACAAAGTTTTAAACATCGCCTTTAAAGTAAAAATGCTAAATGGGACTTGGGGCTTCAGATAGTGAATGTTACATGGGAGAGTATATTTTAAGCCGTGTGCATTATACCAAGGTTTTACTGTAATTTAGAATGAGAGTTGACTTCCCACTTTCACATCCCATAAAGACTTTGACATTGTGCAAATTAAACATCTTTGACTTTCGCCCGAGGCTGCGAATCCTAAGAACCAACTTGTACATAAACGCTGGGGTACGGCAAATGGAGAAGGGGAGACAAGAAAGAGCTGACACTCACCATCCATTCGCCCGTCTTGTCTTGAGGTAGAGGGCCACGGCCTGACTTAGGGGCAGGCACCTTGCAGGGATCCCACTCAGGCTTGTAGTCCTAGGTCACATGACAAACACACACAGACAAATTTAATTTACAATACAACTGATTTCTACAACTATGCAGCAATTCAATCTACCGTCAAAATTGTCTAGACGGCTACCTATTGTAGAGGAGAAAAGTGGCCATCTTAGACAGGTGGCCGTCTTACACAATGTAGTTATCACGTGACAAAAAAATCTCCATGGGGAGAAATGGGTAGTGGCTGTCATTAATTTACTGACAAAAACTCCAAAATATATCAGTTACTTTCCTCACTGAGCTTTTACGTGAGAATTTGCTGATGACCAGCAATTACGCCTGCAATCCAATTCATCTCAGTCCGCAATAAGCATTATGACATCAGTGCACTTTACCATCTTAGATCTATGAAGCAAAAACAACAGAAGATTTGCACTTTAAAATTCTAAACTCAAAAAAGAAACCAATACTGAGATGAGTTACCTCTCTATTTGGGAATAAATTTAGATATGGGAAACGACAAGCAACTCACCTTTGACGGAACTTTATCGTTAGCAACATCAATTTTGACAACTGTCCTGCTAGACAAATCTCTGCCACTCAAGTTATGAATCTGAAAGAGGAAGAAAAACATACAATACAGTGTAGTTCAGAAATTCAAAAAATGTCTCCCAGGAGAAAGGCAACTTGATTCTTTCATACTGACCCAACAGTCACAGGACAAACCTGCCCTTTTGCTCTAGGAATTAAACACTTTCCATTGTTTCTATGATATTTTCCCAAAGAATCATGCTTTTGTCTATCATTCTTTTTTCTCTCTCACATCTGTCTAGACAACAAAAAAAAGAGGTTATTTTGACTGCTTGGCCCAGTTGTTAGGGCAACAGAGAATGAAAAAGGACAGAAGGCCCACAAGGGCAATTCTATCATAAGAAGGGTTGTGCTTCTTGCAGGAGTGAAGTAGCTCTAATTTTTTTTTATGGAGGGGAAAATGTATGTGGAGTCAAGCATAAGAAAAGACCTAACATGAGTCAAATAAAAAACAAAAGTAACTTTTTTTCAAGAAAAACAAAAAATATAGGTTAAGTAAGACCAATATCAACAAACGAAGAAACAGTATTGCACACACTTACATTTTCTGTACTGCCGTTATCAGCATAGTGGAATGACTCAATAATGATGTACATATTCTCCTTCATGTAGTCATTCTGGAAACAGAAAAGAGAAAGAAACATCTTAGATTGGCTGTTGTAGTAAGAGTTTTATGGCACGCGCAACACAACTGGTCGCTTTTAAGCACAAGGGGGCTATCCCGAAAAATGCTGTTTTGAGAAAATTGAAGGTAAAGTCTTTGCGCCTTATTCAGTTTCTTTAAAAAACAAGGAGAGTTTTTTCTATAACCAAACAAATATACATACTAATGAAACTTAACTTCCTCTATAGGTAGGCCCATTTTTGGTGTAGGTCAAGATTTCTGGAAACCCCCAAAATCTGGGTTAGCCCACTTGTCCTTAAAAGCGACCAATTAAGAGGTCATGCAAGTGCCTAAGATTAGAGCTGTTACAATAGAGTAACAAACACACAAAAGGAGGACAATAAATGTTTGATAGAAAATAAGTAGCAAGCCACACCAAAGCACTCGCCAACCATCCATGAAAAAAACATCAACAGAAGTCAAAATTATCAGAATCGGAAAGCACATATGTATTGACTTGCTGTCAGTTTGGGAGGCCCAGATTTTTTTCCTTCAAGCCCCACCACTGAATAGAAGATATTCCCATATTATGAAAGCTGACTTCTATCCTCGACATGAACAAAATGTCATGTTCCTCTGGTGGATAAAAATAGGAAAGATCAGGGATAAGACTAGCACCACAGCACTAGGGAAAAGCAAAGACAACAAGCGGAAATAAATGAAAAGAGCAGGAACAGGAATTGGGACAGATCACTGGCAACCTCCAACTTGAACAAGCAAAAGAACAAATGTGTCATGGTGCAGTGGAATCAGGCGCTCGTCAACTTTGGGGAATATGGAGTTATTGATATAATCTTAAAGCTTTTTTTTTTAAATTCCCAATTGGTGAAAAAAATACCAATTTATCTTTAATAAAAGTAGGATTATCCCCTACAAGTTTTGGTGAAGCGTGAGTGTTAATCTTTAAAATTTCGTTTTGGGGGTTTGCATACGCTTTAAAACGTAGGTAGTGTGCGTCTGGCAAGCATCATTTTCCCTATTCCGAAGCTGAGTCAATGATTTGACAACACACTCACAGAGCAGTCACCTTTTGTCTGTGTCAGAAGCTCTGAAGAATAATGAGTTTATTTTCTTTGTGTATTAGTCAGAATGCACCCCTTTTGGTTTGTCAACTTTAATTTATTTCTGATTGGCCCAACCACTACCACCCCCCCCCCCCCTTTCCCCTTCAAGAGGACACAACTCTAATTCTAAATTCTAGTCAATACTACTCATGTATTTCTTACAGTACTTACTGTTACAATAAATGAAACCTTACAATTAATTAAAAAACCGTAAGCATTCAATCATAGTCATGGTCACTCTGTGCGTGTCTGCATGAACGTGCAAGTGAGCTAAATGTTTACATGCAAAAAACTCTTACTACAAAATTATGAGATAATTGACCTCTGAGGATTAGTTTGTCAGACATGAAAAAAAAACAAACCCAAAACCCCTTTAAGTTTCTACAACAAGGGTTTAAATACCCTAAAGAGAGACAACCAAAGGGTGAAGGAACCTCTTAAGTTGGCCTGAAAAGGGGAGCCCTGATGAAAAGTAAAATTAACAAGAAAATGGCTGCCAGTGGCTTGGTGACTTCCAAAGCTTTAGTGTGCCTGGAAACTGAACATGTACATTTTTAGTGCCTTTAATGAACGTTTTTCAGTGAAATCCACACAGAAATGCATTTTAAATGGACATAAAAAGTGTTCAGCTGAAAAAAAAACCAATTCGATAATATTGACCAATGCCCAGAAAATCGCTGTTTTCTTCGATTTCATTGTTTTGACAAGCACCTGATTTCACCACGCTGCCTCACAAATAAATTCAACACAGAGATACCAAAAAAATGGCAGAAAACCAGCGACAAATAACCATAAGAAAGATAAAGGGAAAATGAGCCTGTTCATTTAAAAGCTCTAAGCCTGGTATTTCAGTTTCGTTTCTGTAAGAGTTTTAAGGCATTTGCAACACAAATAGGACATATAAATGCCAGAGATTGGAGGGGTTACTAGAGGTTAACATACAAAGAAAAGAAAGAGAGATAACGACGACAGATGTTTGATAGAAAAAAAGGAGAAGCCACACCAGAGCACCTGCCAACCATCCACTCTAAAACTCGAACAAACCAGGTGACAGTCATGTCAGCCAAATGAACAGAAACAAAAATGTTTTAACTGATCTTTGAAATAGCCAACCTTAGACTACCACTTCCTCTCAAACGTGGCACTTACTGTAATAACAGTTCTGCAGTATGGGTAAGCATTCCATGCTTTTTCATGAACCTCCAGGGAACCTTTGGGGGCTAACAATCTTATAAACCCTGGGACTTTCCTGAAAAAGCAGATAAAACATTGTCACAAACTCAAGTGGTTATATCTGACAAATTATTTTTACTACGCACGCGTTTCCTTTGAAAATGTCAGCCTTGAGGGCACACTTATTAAACTCTTACCATTTGGAAACACGGTCATAAGCTACGAATACGGACAACCTCAGAGTCAAACACCCTAAGCATTTTCAACAGGACATGAAAACAGAAATCAAGGCATAACCATATAATAAGGTTTGTGACCATCAACACTAATGACTAACTAATGCTGTCCCTTTACTTGGTAATCATATTCAACCCTACATCCTAATACAAACATTTATAGTTTGATGACATTATTCTGTGAAAACTATTAATTCTACAAAGCTTTGGGATCTAAGTATAGTCTACCGCCATCATCTTTTGAATATCTTTACATTTTCCCTGAATAACAGGGAAATTTCAGCCCGAGTTCATTCCCATTCTGACAAATAGTGTAAGTGGTGTACTTTGCAATGAAAAATGGTAAACTTAAGAGTGCCAACTTACTGTGAAATATGGTATATATTTCATGAGAAACATTTCTATGACAAATGGTACACTGTGTATAAACTTACTGTGACAAATGGTCAACTTTGTGAGAGAACTTACCGTAACAAATATAAAACTTCGCGAAAAGAACTTACTGTAACAAATATTAAACTTCACAAGTAAACTTACTGTGACAAATGGTAGATTTTGTGCGTGTATTGTCCAGTAGTAAACTTCTGCCCATTGGCAATCAGGTCTGTCTCTGGCTTGTTAGTATTGGCGTCGAACGGTTCGTTGACCACCACCTCAACGCCTTCCCCACCTCCAGTCTCATTCTTGCTGGCTTGAGCTACAGACCACAGTTGTCCTACATGATACTGCAGTGGGAAAGAAAGTAAAGATATTAACATAACAATAATGATAACAATTATTATTAATAATAATATTCATAATAACAATAATAATAACAATAATAAAAAATGACAGGTTGCATTCACATAGTGCTCTATCCCATACAAATATTTATAAGCTCTGAACACTTTACATTCATGACATGATTACTGAGAGTAAAACTTTAAGATAAGATAAGATGGTGCTTTATTATCCCAGAGGGAAATTTTCCTTGGCTGTACAGGACCGTAAAAAAAACATGCAGGTATACATATAAAATGTAAATTATATATATTACTCTCATTAAAATTCAATATGAAAAGAGAAGTAAAGCTGACAAAATGTACATTTACATCAAATGCATCATTCAACCACATGCAGGAATTTAAATACTAGACCTTAGGAGTTACATAATATATATAGATACATACTCTAAGAGCAACACACATCTATGCTCATTCTGACAAAAACCTTAATAAATGCTAGATAGTAAAAAAATTCTTTTATATCTTTCTTTCTTTGATTTTGGAGGTACATATCTGTCACTGCGTGATCTTACAATTTGTGAGGAAAAGGGGTGTGATGGGTCGTTTATAACGCTTTTTATCTTTTTTATACGTTTCATCCATTCTATTAAAATCATATCCAGAGATCTTGCTGGCTTTCTTAATGGTTCTGCCAAATTTTTCTTTATCTTTGACCTTACAATTCCCACCCCAGCAGCAAATACAAAATAATAGCACACTTACAATCATAGAATGGTAAAAAAGGGACATAATCTTATTGTCAACACGCAAACTTCTTAATTTCCTTGAAAGAAACATTCTTTGATTTACTTCTTTATGCACAACAGCAGCATGGGGATGCCAGTCAAGTTTGTTATCCATTTTTATACCAAGATACTTGTAAGAGCTTACCACCTCCACCTCTTCATCTTAAATAAATAGTGGTTGCAATTGGTCTTTTTTACTCTAAAGTCTCTTATTAATAATTCCTTTGTCTTTTTTACATTAAATAAAAGGAAGTGGTTATCACACCAATGTGTAAATAGATTTTTAAAACACATGTAGGAAAGAGATTCTCACTAATAGAAAAAGTAAGAAGGCAAAAATCATACAAAAACAAACAAAGATTACAAGATGGAACCAGATGACCTCAAGATGTTACTCTAAATGATCTTGAAAATAAGGTGTTAAGTCATGTGAAAATTTACAAAAGTGTACATGCAATCTTAAGATCTATTCACTTTTCCAATGCTGGTAAGTATAACTGTTTTAAAATTTCGTTAGTTTCAATATCTCTACCTTTTCTAACCACTAGCCCGGCTGCTTTGTTCTGATTTTTTTTAATATTCTGCCGATTAGGTAAGATGGTACACCTATCAAAAGCACAGGACAGTAATCTAGATCAGATGACTTGTAATAAAAATAAATGGACAAGTATATTGGTATCATTTTCCATGACATTACAGATTTTCCCCATATTTTTCTAAAGGAAATGACAAGATCAGCAAATCCATATAATGTGGTCTTCCATGTTAAAAGTAGACTGTAGAATGACAAGCAAAACAAAAACCAAGATTTCTTGCAGTATTACAGGCTAAATTAGCAATTTCTCTGCCATCAAAATTAATAAATTTTATTATGTTTTTTATCTTTGTACTTCTTTGAGATGAGCATGACTTTTCTCGTATTCATTTAATTTCAATTTATTTCTTGATGTCTTTCAAATATTTTGTATAGCTCACGCTTTTCTACGGAATTATTGGTCCCAGTAGGATGTAGATTTGCCCACCATCAGCCTATAATTCCACACTACTAATAAGGAAAAAAGCATAAAACACAATTTTGGTAAAAGGCAACTCGTCAGTCCAAAAGATGTGAAATTTACAGTCCCTGTCCAAAAAAAAAAAAAAAAACGCTAGCTAGGTAATGGATGTACTTACGTTTTCTACTGACATGGGCAGAACAACCCGGCTGAAAAAGATAAAACAAAGAAAATCTTAATAACCAACAAGTACTTTAGTCAAGTTCATTTTTCAGAACCTGAAGAGTTCTTACATTTGAAAAAACAAACAAAAGAAAAAGAGATAAAATTTGATAAAAGTAAAAGTCACATTCATCATAACCAGTTTTTTCCTTCCTAAAGTGCCAAATCTGAAACAGACATCGGTGTTCATGGTTCGCCATGCATTTTTCTCCTCGAATGCTTTAAAAGAAAAAACAACTTTTTTTGTCCTCATCTTTTCCCCTCACCTATCTGTGCAAGGCAAGCTCTGTATTTAAGTTATTTAACAATAAATGGCACTTAAAATTTTTTTCTCTTTTGCCTCATGAAGACAAGACTGGGGTGTTCACAATTTTAAAAGAGCAAAGCAGTCCTGTCAAAAAAAGAACACAGGAAAGCTACAACAGACACAATCGATTGCATTGACTGAGTGTTCACATTTCACCCATAAACAACTGCAGTCTCGTGTCTGCCATTTCAACTAGACCCTATAATATAACAACCAAACTGTGAACTATGACGTTTCATTTCTCTCGAGTCTGTTTTGATTTCATGTCTACTTTATGATGGCAAATTTCAGGGAAACTTGAACAAATTTCTAAAAGTATCTGAATCCCCCCATAAAAAAATAACCTTAAAAAAAGCAGAAATAAAACCCTTAATAATAATGATAATGTAGATCATTTCTATAGCGCCCACTCATCCCGTGAGAACACAGCTCTTGGCGCTTTACATAAATGCATATATGCATTCATGCACACACACACACATTACATGCACACATGTGCACACATGTGCACACACATGCACGCCAAACACACGCACACACACACATCTCCCTGCTTTTCACATGCGCACGCTTACACATCGTTACGAAATGAGCACATAAAAATACATAATAAAATAATGTACACAATGCAATTCGCAAAATACATAAATGGATACATTGCCATTTAAATAACATGGTACTGAACATGAATCTACTGATATAAAAATGATGTCATTAAATGTGTCTTTAACATTATCCACCCACGAAGCGCACAGGGTGCGCAACATTTATCTCCACGGACCAGGATACAGATGCGCCACACGCTATATCACACCGTCGCAAATCAGCGTCCCGTGGGGAAAAGGTACGGCTTCTTACAGTCGCCGATCGGCATCCCATCGGGGCTAAGAGTTAATTAAGACTCAGATGTTGTATGTCCCAAGGGTTGAGGAAGAGAGTTCCAAATCCTTTTTTTTTCAATTTTACAAAAATATATTGCACACCCATGAAATTACTTTATCCTGGCACACTGTGACTCACTGTGTAGTACAAACTATGAGAACACAGGCACATTTAATTCTAATATTATGTTTCTGGTTTTTTCCCCCTAAATAAATTTCATCCACAAATTTATTACTTCTGTACTTTTTCTCAATTTTCCCTGACTCCCTGCCCACCAACATACCAACACATTCACAAGACAAGTACAAGGCAATGAAAAAAGTTAGAGCAACAACGATTCAGAATTGCACAACAGGCAAATTAGCCACCTCAAATCAAGTGAACTCACATTTACTGATAAAATACTGTCCATTTTTTTTTTCAAGCCCTGAACCTTCCCCCCAAAAAAGCCTAGCATCCCTGAGTCTCTTCACTGTACAAAGGAATAGTAAGTTGCTGTCACCGACCGTGTGCGCCTGTTTTTATCACTCTTATCAGACACAGGCCAGATAACCACCGACAGATTTATAGTTTCCCAGCTTCAGTAACAACTACAAAGTAAAGGAATGCAGACAAATTATTGCTCATCAGAGCCTAATGAGAGGGTCTGATCAGGAGTAGGTACACTACACTAAGCTTTTCATCAGAAACTGGTATTGATAACATGGGGTGTAGTGTAGTGCATACTGGACCTTGACTGGGAGACACTAACTTGAGTGAACAAAGGCAAAATGAGTGCACAGCATAGTGACTGGCAGCTCAAGGTGTCATCAGTAAAAGTATTTATAAAAGGCTCAGGTTTCTAAAATAGAATTTAAAAAATCTTCAGTTCTCAAACATTCAAGGGAGCTTCCAACCCAAATTGGGTAAATAAAAAAGAATGGGTAAAGTTCAGCTGTAGCAGTAAATTTGCAGGGTCAGTATGACAAGGTCATATTTCGTAAGAAACAGACTATGGCAACAGTAACACTGCAATGAAATAAAACTACTAAAAGTAAAAGTTACAGTGAAAACAGCACTAATCCTCGACTGTATAAGTACAAAGGACAAGATTCAAATGAGATCATAATAAATTTTTATATTTTTCATTCTCAAGAAATTACAGTACCAGATTACAAAACACTCCATCATTTTCCCAAAAAAGCCAGTAATTTTCACATTGTGACCAGGGGTATACGAAAAACTCAGCAGACGTCACTATTCACAGGTACTACTTAAACATGAAAAAAATTAAACAAATCTTTACAACTCACACTGACAGGTGGGACCTTAAAGTTCATGCTCAGAGCCTTTGGAGGTGGGGGGAAAGAGAAGTGTAAAGAAATTCAAAGCTCATACAAATTATAGAGGGAGGAAACTGTAACTTCAAACCACAGATCAACATATAGATTCTTTGTGCAGAGAGCTTCCTAATTTCTTTTCTAGAGACCACACACCAAAATTCAAAACCACAACCTTCAAGAGAATGTAAAAAAACAACAACCCAAAACATAACCATTGATCAAGCAAATGTAATGTCAGATGCACCTGTAGATACAGTCGAACCTGCCTTAACAGAATCTCCCCGCTCCCTCCTTCATATTCCTCTTTAATTACCTATACTACATAAAACGGAAACCTGTCCAACGCAGAGAAACGGAAAGAAAAATCCGCTCCATTCGGAGGGTTTTACCTGTCCAAGACGGAAAATATTTTGCCCGCTTAGCCCTAATTTGAAAGAAAACTCACAAGTTTGGTTCCACCGGCTCTAAACTATGCCATGCCGCTGGGCGAGGAAGGGGAGAGTAGAGGTGCAATTTGGGGGTAGATGTTACCCCATCTATGTGAGCCCTGAGTGACGCAGATGGTCAGGGTGATGTGGAAGTGAAATATCACAAGTGCCAGTGAAAGTGCTCGAGTAGCGAGCCACAATGAAAACCTTCGTTGGTAGCCAGAAGCCACATTGTGAAATTAGTTTGACCAATGCCTGCCGCCTGAACGTACGGTCAGCTGAGAAAAAAGTTCTTCGAATTATTGTTACATGATGGCAGTGAGGGGTGGCATTGGTTGACTGTGCTTGATATACCGATGGGTAGGGCTAAGGGAGGAAGCAAAGGCGATGTTCAAACGTTTCTGTATTTAATAGGTCAAACAGTGGAAATTGGAAAAATAAGATTGACGCAAGTCATATCAGAGACGTCAGCAGTTGAGAGGTGGGAAGTTTTTACCACTGCTTGCCGACTGGACAAGCGACCCTTGATCCCAATCGCTGGGCCTTTGAACCCCCCCCCCCCCCCCCTCCATCTACCCCCCTAAATTCCTCTGTCTAAGACGGAAAATTTCCAAAATGGAATTTTTTTCTGGTTCACTTGCAATTCCTTCTTACACAGGTTCGACTGTACTCTACATTTTTTAATGTAAGCCTTTATTGTTACAAAATTGACCCCACTCATATGAGCGTCTTCATGGAAACAGCCACAACAACTTTTGCAATTCTTGAGTTAAATGAATGAAGCCTCAAAATGTTTGGATTAAGACTACCCACTACCTGGATTACAAGGATGGAAGTAAATAAATATTAATTAGTATTCACAACAGCGTGTGATTTGAGTAGGAAAAAAATTGTTGTGGTCTTACTCTAGAACTAGACCTCGATCCAACACAATCCGTCAGTCCCTATATGTGATTGCCTGCATTACACTCTCGTGCTTGGTCCCACTGTTACACATTTTTAATGTTCGACATTTTGAGCTAATTCCCAATGACCTGTGACTTTAACATCAGAGTTGCAGCTTTCGATATCATCACTAAAATCGCTGCAATTTTTTTAACAAATTTCAAAATAGAGCATGTTTGGCTTGACACCACCATAAGGAACCCGACTTTTTTAACTGCAATGACAGAAGGAAAACATTTCAACTCGGCTGAGGTGGGCTTTCAAAATAATCTGCGAGACAAAACTACTCATGATAAAAATAGGAAGCCATAAAAATAAGATTCGAAATGAAACTTCAATTAGCAGAGAAAGTATGATACTTGCTGCATCGCATTTCCCGCAACTCACGCTGTGAACTAAAAACGCTTTCATAGTTTAAGTATTGATCTCTCAACGGGAGTGGAATTGGACATATACTCGGCCCTGCTTCCCGCAACAGGTGTGAGATATTTTTTTAAGTGAGTAAAAGAGGAGAAAAAGAAGAGTGGGGGGGGGGGGGGGGAATGCAAATCTCTTGCTAGCTACCGTCACCACAGATCAGTAGGGGCCTAGATAGTGATCATCTTATTAGGCAATTTTATTTCCGTAAAGGTTCCTTCGTCATAATATTTACACCGTTGACGAATCTGCTTCAGCAGACTCTGTGCTTGAATTGGTTTTAAAAACTACCAAATGACAAATGCACCCAGACAGTTCCGCCCCCTTCAACTAGATCTAGATTCTAGATCTAGATTAGATCTAGAGGGAAAACTGAAGTAGCATTTTTCTGGTAATTTCTATAGTTGAACAAATTATATGATTTATAACACGTGAACTTTTAAATTATTATATATATCTAGATCTAGGCCTGGGCCTGATCAAGCAAGCATCAGTTAACTCAGTACACTAAAATAGAATCAAGGTGGATGCCCATTGTTTCTTTAAAGCAAGGCCGACCACATTCATGGTCATCAAAAAGAAGTCTTAGAAAAGGCTTGACACTGAGCACCAATCCCACCCCACAATGGTCTCCGCCCATATTGGCCCATATCTCTATCTTTGTAATATCAGTGTAGATCTAGGATCTAGATCTAGAGATTCTACATCTAGATCTAGATCTAGAATCTAGATTCTAGATCTAGATATCTAGGCTAAAAAAGAGAAAGTAGAAAGTACACAGTGTAGCCACAGGGTCTGACAGTGCCTGGCTAATCTTAGACCAGTTCAGTAGCCTACTGGACTCTGGATCTAACTTCTCCCTTTCCCTCCCTATAACTAACTGCCCAATCAAACTCTGATGGTTATTGCTACGAGAAGTAATTTTCGCACCTCGTCTGAGTCATCGCTAGATATATACATCTGGGCTAGATCCACCACCTTTCATTCTCAATGTATTCTCGGCTAAAAGCATTGTTGTTTCAGTCTGTTCCGTTAGTACCGGTGTCACCGGCATCAGAAATGGTAGACGCATTGAGGCCAATTCATGACTTACTTTGAAACTTTTATCACGCACAATGAAGTTAAAACCCATCCTCATTCAAAGTATAGCTTTAGAGCAAGACAAAAGTCAACATAATTAAAATGTTCAGAGAAATATCGAAGTTTGAAAGATATAATTTCCGAATTCGTATGTGTCCGGAAACGAGAAGTGTTCTTCGATCGATAAACTTGACTTCATACCCATCATCAAAATCAGCATTTTCTACACAAACATTCAAAATATACCATTTACAGACAATAAAAGCCTTCAGATGTAATTGAAACTTCGTTTTTAATAAATCATATATCATGTTTATATACTCACAACTCTCTGATAGCGTGATTCTGCATTTTGTTTCCTTGCCTACAATGTACGATCTTTTGTTTCACTACTCCACGGGGTGGACTGCCCCCGAAATGACGTCATTTACGGTGTTATGCGTTCGTACACTTTGGTATCTTTATCAAATTAAGAAAGGATTTTATTAACAACCTAGATATCTTTTATTTGAACTATGTCAATAAAAAAACTCATGTACATTTCCATTTGTTTAATGTAATGATGTTTCAGAACTTTTTACGAAACTAAATTTACGTGCTACTCCTTTGGAAAAGAACGACTCCGCACAGTCGCACAGTCGAGCCTGTTGCGGATTTCTTTCGATCGTGCTTGTCCTATTAATTCAGGAGGATGTTTGATCGATCAATTCAATGCTTTTTTCCGTTGCTTATGACAACGGTCTAAGCCTGGTCGTTTCTGTTCGAGTGATGTCATTGTTGTTTTTTGGCGCTTCTTCCTTCGTAGCAACAGCAGCTGTCATTCCTGACGATGATTATTATGATGGGGGATGATATTTCTTCAGCAAAAAAGTGTGATAGGTGGGCGGGGGAGGGGGGGGGGCAAGAAAGAGAATAACAATATAAAACAAGACGCTCTAATGATTCGTATCTCAAAATCATATTCGTGATCATTACTATGGTGATAATGAAGGGGGGGGGGGGTATGATGTTGGGGGACCCAACTACTACCAAATAAAGGGGGACATAAATAGGGATTGGTGTATTGTAGCCTATGTGATTTGTTAACATGTTAGGCTAGCTGTGTGGACGATTTTATTTTTTTTCGAGGGGGGAGGTCATTGTTTTTCTTTTCCTGTAATTGTCAAAACTACTTATAATCTCATAAATTATACGTGATATCGTGCGTTTGGGTCCATGTTGCCGTCTGTCAGTTTTGATTTTTATATAATGCCTATAGCTGCTTTAAATAATTGTCTGAATCCACGGTTAGGCCTAATGTTTGATTAGATCTAATGCAAAAGTCAAATACCGGTATAATTATAAGTGACCATTCTTACCTTTGTTTTTCAAACAGCCCTCGTAAATTTACAATCACTTTGTCACCGTTCTTCTCATAATTTTTAAATCTGACAACACTTTTGCTTTTCGCCCTCCCCCTTTCTCCTCAGACTAATTAGCCAAAGACTCATGTATGACCATCAGTGTTATTGTGTCGCAGGTCTCACCCAGCCTGTCAAATTTGAAGTCTCCGCATCTTGTGTTATTGCAGTGGTTGTTGTTTTATCATTGGTGGTGGTGGTGGCGGTGGTGGTGGCAGAGCTGGAAGTAACGGAGTACTCCGGTACTTGTACTTACGTTACAATTTTCGGTACTTTTACTGTACTCCGGTACATTTTGAGAACCAGTACTTTTACTGTACTCCGATACTTTTTATAATGTACTTTTGAGTATTTTTAAAGTACATTTTGAGTACTTTTGAAGCATAATGAAAGGGTAAGTGCCGGTATTTTTATCATAATTTAGGGAACAAACACCCAGGCGGGTCCAGCCAATCAACCAAGAGTTAAAAGTTGAGATCAAAGAACGACCCGTCTCGTCAAAGATCAGCCACTCTCGTGAATGTGATCATAAGAGTTGTAAAACTCCATGAAACGGTAAAATGATCCCCAGGCGGGATCACACCGAGGTGTGAACTGACCGAGGCGTTTCTTTTCCGCCTAAACATCGCACTCGCATCTGAGCTTGCCACCTGAACTTACTTCACTCGCTGGGTGGGTAGGGCCTACACGTTCGCTCCAGGAAGGATCACATCAAACTGAACTCTTCCCTGTCCATTGAAGTTGAAGGCAGTTTTTCTCTGTTCCCGAATTTGCGAGACAGCCTGAATTTTAATTGGTGTGGTCACAGCGTAATGATACGTAACGACAAAGGCAGGGGAACTCAATCAGCAGAGATGGAAGGCTAAAATTTTTGGACAGGTAAAGGGGAGGGGCAACTGGATAAACGTAGATAAAGATCTCGAGACGATATAATAAGGTATAATATTATGGCATGCCTCATGCCACCATGCTACTGTGATTGGTCATCAAGGTTGACCACTCTTTGCTCGCCGTATGTCATAAACCCACCCAGGGGTCACGTCAGTTCATGGGTCACTGTAGATTCTTCCTTGGCTTCGTCGGCTAAAATCCCGTATTTCCCTTGCTCCCGAGCACTGGGATCTTAGGCGGACTACTGTAGTAGTAGTAGTAGTAGTAGTAGAGAATTTTTGATTACACTACACTTACTAGACTCTTGGAAATTACATGTAGGCCTGTTTTGGTTTGCCTTGGGCGCCGTGGACTACTCAATGTGACCAAAATCTGTCTTACCACAATTACAATCAATTGCAATTGAAACTCAGTTTTCAATGTATATCAATCTAACAATTTTTAGGCGACCTAAATTTCTTTTTAACTTTTTAGGAGGTTTGTGCTTAAGGCTAGCTTGATTCCTTGGGGATTTGTTAATGAAGAATTCAATGCACATTTCCATTTTTTATTTTTTTTATTTTTTGCGGGCCATTTTCATCAATTTTATATTTTTTTAAAGAGCAGCTTTGTCTCTACATTTTCCAATTTGGATACTTTTACTTCTTTCCCACCTCTAGGACTGACTTACATTTGATCATATTGTCTTGCTCAAACAAGTTCTATTAATTTATAATATCACTCACTAGTTGCGTCTGTTTGTTTGCTGGGGTTTTTTTTTCAATTTCACGGACCATTTCCACCTACGTTAAGTGCGTATATTCAAGTGCTTTGTTAGTAATAAATGGCCTAATTTGTTAAATATACTAGATATGTTATTCAATATGATGTTTTGCATTAGCACTGAAGTGTTTTAGCATATTAGCAGAAAGTACTCAAAATGTACTCATAAGTACTTTTTTTAAAAATACTTATACTCAAGTACATTTTACAGGAAAGTACTTTTACTGTACTCAAATTTGTACTTTAGTACATTTCTAAAAGTACTTTAACAGCTCTGGGTGGTGGTAGGGATGATGTTGGTACGTGTTGGTGATGTCGTTTTCGTTATTGAATTTGTATAGGCCTAATTAGAGCTTGATAAGACTCTATAATCATTTACGCCTCCAGTCTTGAAATGTTGACCCACACCGTGTTAGAAGACCAATTAAATCTGAAAAGAGCATGAGTGCAACATGAACACGGAAAACAGCTGATAAAACATGAGTGGAGCAGTAGGTCGTTGCTGGAGGGCTACACAAAATCCTGCAGTGGACGAACAACGCCTAATCTAGAAAGGTTAGATTTTTTTTTAAGGAAAAAAAAAAAGAGAAAAAAGGAAAAGAAAAGTCGCAGTGTTTGTGCTCGGTAATAAGTGTGTGTCCTGCTTTGTCCAGACGGGCTCACCTCCTGGATGATCTAAATTAATCATGTAGAGTCAAAAGGACCCGCCCTTGTCATAATCTAACGTACAGTCGCCAACGGGTAATTTTTACAGGTGAGACAAAAGCGATTTTACTGCATTACATGTATTATTCAATGCTCCTTATATTCAATGTTCTTTCTAATAATATATAATAATAATATATAACATTTATAGAGCGCATTTCCAAAAAAAGTAGCTCAATGCGCTTTACATTGGAATACCCATTTTTCAAAAACCTTTCTTACTACTTCCTTTCTTCTCAAGCAATATACATTAATGC